TATTTCAGCGTGGACAGTACAACTTTTGAACGGGGCGGACCGACTAAATCTAGTTTTTACCGATTAGAACCGACTAAATAGCGACTTTTTCTGGCTAGTCAAATTTCCAAAACTCGAACATGGTCACGCTGGAATAAGGCACACGACTTGTCTAGGTATCGACTTATCTCAGGGTGACGGGCGTGTTGGCAGTGTTCTTCATCTCTTTGGGATTCTGTGTGTTACTGCTACTGATAAGGGTAGCCGTGCCGCTTAAGTATCATTTGTGACGACTTGTTCGCCCCATCCATAATAATATTGTTAATGATAACAATACGCGAGACGCAGACATGATGACATGATGTTTTAACAGATTAAATTAAATGAAAAAGACAAGAAATCGACTAGGGATACGGAACGGACCTCATGTTTGTAGTTTGTGGTAGTTACAGTTTTTTTACAAATTAATTTTTAATTTTAATTATTATTACGTTTTAAGTTTCTTAATCCTTTGTTGCTTGTTAAAGGTGATAGCTCTATAGCCAAAGCTCAACAAATAAATAAAAAAATAATTGTGGTCTGTAAAAAAACACCTACATATGTTATATCAAACGTAGTGTGATAGTGACGGAGTGAAGATATTTGTGTTTTCCATCCGTTACTCTCATCTCTGGACTGTATTCGCACTTTCCATCAGGCGCGGTGCAGTCATTTTGCCGAGTCACAATAAAAAAAAAATAAAATAAAATATAGTAGATTGTCCAGGGTCTAGAGCACGTCAAGCTTTACACTTAAGACTTAAATCCAACTCTATGCCGCTTACAATAAGAATGGTCCAAAGTACAAAGTGTCTTGATATGCTCTTGACTGTACAACAAGCGCATAAAACGCGCATTTTACCCGAGACGAGTATACCCTTAAGTGAATACTTAAGTCGAGGGTAAAATGGGTTTTATGAACGAGTTTTATGATAGTTTTATGATACACTCTGCTTTTCACTTCGATTGCGAGGAAATTAAACAGCAATATTATAACTAACTAACTAACTATATAAACGATTATTTAATTAAGATTGAATGTAAACTTACAACAATTAGACATATTTAATAACCCACACGCACACACTCAACGTAGCCCGCACTAGGGAAACCCTGTGTTGCGGATGCCATGGACACACAATTAGACAACCCAAACTCACTAGAGAAATAAATGTAGGCCATACAAATATTTCTCCCGGCCCGGGAATCGAACCTGGGACCTCTGCGTGGCAGTCGGTATGGTAATCGTTCGGCCACAGAGGCAGTTGATGATTTAATGTGATGGTTTTTTTAAATTTATGCACTAGAGCATTAAATCCTATTATATGCAGCCTACACCCAGCATAAATACGAACTTTAAGAGCATGAGAAGTGAAAAAAAAAAAAAAAAAATTGTACTTCCTCTGGAATATCCCGCAATTTTTTGATTGGCGTTTATGCTGTAAAATTCCATTAGCGAGTTTCAGATGAAATTTCTGAATCTTTTCCCAATAAGCACGGTCCTCAAAGGTGAACACATGATATACGTTATTATTACGCAATGTATGTTTTTTGCGAAGAGTGACTTGAAACTTGAGAATAATAATTGTGTGAAATAACAAGTAAATATTACGACAGCTATTAGGATGTGATTGATAATGATAATTTAATGGTTAGATGCATTGATCTAATGGTTAGGGTAGTTTGGTCGTTATCACAAGGTTTATTTTAATGTCGGGTATTGTTTGCATTCAAAAGTTTTTGCATAGTTGCTTATTAGAATTAAATAACATCAGAAATGTTTGGTTTTTAAGTTTTTTCCACACAAAATCTAGTTTTTTGCGACTAGAACCGACTAAGTAGCGACTTTTTTCTGGCTCGTCAAGTTTCAAAAACTCGACCATGGTCACGCTGGAATAAGGCACACCTTCAAGGCTGCGACTATATTCATAATCCTTCATTACGTGGCGGATGCCAAGGCGGACTACAATGCAGGATATTGAATGCCGCCTTTTATACGGACGCCTGGCGACGTTACATCGCGCTGATTATATTGTAAATGCTTATGACAATATTATGTTTCATTTATCTAGTTAATTTACATTTAATTGAGTTGTTTGCATTTTGCTCTCATACGCAAAGACATACCTACTAACACGTGCATGCATTAAATATGTAATGCAACTGCCTCCGCGGCCGAACGGTTAACATGCCGGACTGCCACGCAGAGGTCCCAGGTTCGATTCCCGGGCCGGGAGAAATAGTTGTATGGCCTACAATTATTTCTCTCGTGAGTTTGGGTGTAATTTGTGGTTGTCTATATGTGTGTCCATGGCACCCGCGACACAGGGTTTCCCTAGTGCGGGGCTATGTTGAGTGTGTGCGTTATTTATTAAAAAAAAAAACACCTGGATTCACAAATTCATTTCAAGTGCAGTTTTGATGGGAAGACCTTACTTAAGCCTTCTTCTTCATTAATATATCGCACTGCTATTACAAAAGTGCTGTAACTCAAAATATGTGAAATTCAAGATTATACTACAGCTGAACGTAAAATTTGATACTATACACTTCAATAAAACCGACGTTAGAATATTGTAAAAAAGAGACAAATTTTATGAGCTTGCTTGAATAGACAAAACAGTCGTTACTCAGAAATATGAAACTGTTTTCTTTCTTTTTCTCACATAATTATTTTATATTAAATAAGTTGGCATGTACAAAATTCTTAGGTTTTCGCGATTGTTACACATAGGAAATGAAACTATTTTTCCGGATTTAAATCGCATATATTTATATAGTTGGTCACGGTTGACCATGGGACCTGTAAAGGGCCGGAAACAAATAATTTTTTTATTTTTATTAAAATTTGTTTGAAAAAACAAACATACGCGATTTAAAACCGGCAAAATAGTTTCATTTCCTACGTACAAAATTGTTTAGATGTCTGTAATAAACTTTAACCTACGCATAAATTTTAATAATCTATCACGGAAAGTGTGTAATTAGTTTTTCATCGATTCTGGAAAATTACACTTTTTGAGTTAATACACTATAGTAATAATAGTGAGATATGTAACTTGAGTTACGCGAACTGGAATTTCATTGATCGATTAGGTACTACAGAGACCTCTAGATAGGTCAAATTGGATATGCCGGTAGCTAAAGGCAGTTATTGAATGGGGTATATAAAAATTAGAGTTGCAACGAATATTCGGTTACTATTCGGTATTCGGCTTATTCGGCCTACTTTTTTTATAGGGCCGAATACCGAATATTAAATCACTATTCGGCCGAATACCTAAAAACGGGAGGAAGAAATAAGAAAATACAGTAAATTATCACAAATACTAACTTCTATGAGATCAAAAAAAGGTAACAAATCAAATGAATACTACCTACTTATTATGTAATTTTGTCGTGAAATCATGATTAAATAAAACAAAAAAATATTACTTATATACTTCTTTTTCTTCTTTTTTTGGTATGACTAGAGTTTCTTTTTTTACTTGACATTGTTAACAGAAATAACAATAATAATAATAATAATAAATTTATTTACCGTAACTTACAATTAACAAACACATATTTGAACTATGATCCCCACACTAGGCTACGCCTGTCTCGTGGGAAGCAAACCAGATAAGATTAACCGAATATTAATTATTAAACAATTACTTTCTTCATTAAGATGTCATAAATTTGAATTATAAACTTGAAAATAAATATTTCCTTTTTTGTTTCTTTTTAGAAAATCATGCATCATTACTGGTTTAATGTAATTTAACTTATATATATGTAAGTATAGCTATCTTTGATATAATGCGGTTTGCGCGCCTGCGATTTTTGTAAGATCACTAATCAGGCCGAATAGTTTGGCCGAATATTCGGCTATTCGGCCTCGCTCCGGGCCGAATATTCGGTATTCGGCCTGAAGGCGAAATACTATTCGTTGCAACACTAATAAAAATATTCATATACCGAGTTTCACAATGACAAATTTAAAGAATACGATTTTCGACGACAGGAAATCTTTACGTCCTTAGTGTGAATGAGACAACACATTTTTATTTCAAAGACAAGAGTAGTAGAAATCAAATTAAATAATAATTACAAGTCTGGTACATAATTGTTTTATTACAACACAAAAACTAAAGCTAGCTTTGCCATTGCAGTGCCACTCAGAGTTTAAATCAAAGATCTGAGGGGTACTGCCACTGCGCCCGTCACCCTGAGACACAAGTTCACAAGTTCCGTGTGCCTGTAATTTCACCAGCCAGCCTCGCCCGCGCGCCAGAGACTCTCATTTAAGTTAAAACTTAAAAGCTAAAAGAATAGAACGTATTTTGCCATGACAGTTAGATACCAGAGTTCGCTGCGCAGCGGATACTCGGTCTCCGCGCGGTGTGAGTGCTATAAATTTGTGTCGAATAAACACGCCCTTACCAGAAATAGGTAAGGCGGCTGTACTTCTCTGGATGAACTCTATCACAAGGAGGTGTACTGCTACTAAAATTCTCGTTTTCGTGGTTATAACCTATAATATGACGATGAATAACTACTTTTTTTTAGGTATAAAAAGCAGCAAAAGGCGTAAGTAAAGAATGAATGAAAAAAAATATAAGTAAATGCAGGGAATACATAATTCATTTCGCAGTAACTTGCAAAATTACGAAAAAAGTATAAAATTTTTTGTAATTCATCATTTTCTTATTAGCAAAAAATGTACAGTGTTATTTTAGGTAATATGTGTTTATAGCATTCAAATGATACAAAAATGTAGGCTGTGTAAATCTGTGAAGCTATACCGCTGTGTTGTAGGCAAGCGTAATTTTCTCCAAAAAAAATTAAAGGTGAAACGTCGTATGATGATGATAGATGGATCATTACCTAATTAATTACGTACACGTAATAAAATCTATATCTATATATCTAATCAATAAAATACGTCAAACTTCAAATGGTTTATTCGTAAAGTCTAGGTAATTTTTATTTTTTATTTATTTATTTAAAGAAACATACAGCTTACATATTACATAAATGTTTTGTTTACCTATTAAATATTAAATTTAGCCAAATTTTGTTTCCAATGATAGATAATTCACAAAGTGAAGGCCGAAAGCACTTAATCTACTACACAATGACAAAATTCTGTAAACAATGGCGTAACCAAATGACAAAGCTCTAAACAAGTTTTAAAAAAAAATAGAGACAATTATTGCAGAAAAGAAATAATTACTTAATTTATTAACTAAAATCTACTTTTTTAACATTTGACGAAAACAATTTAGTATACAGGTAAATATATCGATGTGGTGGTAACGATCATTATAAGATTTACATGCTCTGATTAGAAACCTATTCCCAGCGTAGTTAGTACTGCAAATAGGTACGAAAAACAATGTTGTGTTGGAGCGAGCATTAACCCTAGGACATTTGAATGAAATACGACTCATTAAGAAAGGAGAATCAACGGTATTTGTCAATAGATAAGCTTAAATTTGTAACAATAGTCTACTATCGGAAATTATAAAGTGTAATACTATGTAATGTAATAATACTTAAAAGTAAAAGAATAAATATAAAATTTGATTAAAAATGAATTTCAATTGATCACTTTTAAGCATATTGACTGACACTAGCAAGATCGAAAACCTCGACGTAATTTTTATTTCTATCTTTCATACAATCTTCGAAACTATCATGCATTTGCCATTTTAGTAGGTTTTCGCGGTTGCAACTGGTCGGACGCAGGTTTTCCATTGAAAATCATAATTACTCTCCAGTGTTCAGTTAGTGATTTCTGGTTAATCTCCAGCAGCCATTAATAATTATCTCTCCAGATTTAAATTTCAAGGTTTCTAGCTTCGAGTGTTCTGTCTTGAGTATAAAGTTTCATGGCCAAACGAAAATCACGTATTCGTTGTGAGATTGTTTCATCAAAATGTTTTGATAGTTTAATTTTCGGATATTTCTGAAAGAGCAGCGCTAGGTAGCATGATAGGGCGCGACTTGCGTGAGAAGCGACGCAGAAACGCGAGATATTGCTATTGCTAGTACATTTTTACTTTTTCATGAATTTTTTATAATACTTAGTGATGGGAAGGACAAGTCGTGCGCCTGATGGTAAGCGACACGCCTATCCATAACAGTTGCAGTGCCAGTCAGAGTTTTAAATCGCAAAGATTTTGGAGGCGCTGCCACTGCGTCCGTCACCCTGAGACAAGTTGACAATTCTCAAATGCCACCAACAACTTTATCTTTCCAAACCGGAACGCATTAATGCTCACTTTACTGTTTGGCGGCAGAAATGGGTAACTTTAGAGTGGTGATTGTTTTTTATTTTTGTAATTTTTGTCAAACGCTTGTTTTAGTGGCTACTGTATTATTATATGTCGATATTTTGAATACTTGTATAAGAATTTAAGAAACTTATTTAGGTACAGTTTTATTCTTGTCTATACCAACATTCTACATGGTGATATGCCCTATTTAGTATGTTCTCTCAACTTAAAGCGCAGAGGAAGACCTCCTTCGATCCCTTGCACGACGTTGCTCTTGTGGTTCACCGTTGGTACTCTTTTGGTGGTGGGCGCAGGCTCTACAGTGAACTTGTGAAGCACAGATGCTAGTCCTGCTAATGACTGCATTTGGCCTAGCTTAGCTCCTGTAACAAGGAAAAGTAAGAATTTAGCATATCACAAAGACTTGAAAGTATTCAGCGTGCGTTTACTAGACAATTAGTTTTTATCTCGTCGGGTATATCGCATAGACATACATATGTTCAGAGGTTACTGTACTTCATGAATACGCTTAGAGATCGCCGAATATTATCTGACCTCTGACTATCTGACGTTTACGTCGTATACTAAATAATACAATAAAACGTTGCAATATTCTGAACCAAATAAATATTAATATACCTTATAAAAACTTCAGTCATAAAATAACCAAAGTATTTAATGTACCACGATACCGGACTAACCTGTTTCTGCATAGTGCACTACCTAGATTATCCTCTACTTGCAACCAAATTAACGTTCGAATAGATATAGACATTTTTTATTCTTCCCGTAATGTTTTCAAAAATAACATTCTAGAATCATTTTCTAAATAATTTAACTTAGTTATTTCTTGTTCTTTTTGTTGCTTAATATTATTTTATGACATGAAATATGTACGTCTGTAATAGGTAGACAAATAAATGCAATGCTATTGTAAAGTTACACTGTTATCTAAGAGCATGTGTACTACTGTTGACGTACATTATCTATAGACTTGTTCTAGAGTGGCGACCACGTTAAGGAAAATGTAATGTAGGATGCCCTGCAGTAACCACCTTACGGACGAATTGAGAAAGGTGGCAGTTACTGGATGTGGGCGGCGCAAGACTTCGAAAATCTGTGTACTGTGGTTTTATTATTTTACTAGTCTGTCTGGAAAGGAATTTTGTTCTTGCTTTGTGTATAATTGTATTATATACTAAATACATTATGCAACATTAAAACCTCCTTACAATAACAATTTACTCCTACAGCTGTAATTATATTCACACTCGCTGATGCATTTACATATCAAATAGGTTATTTTACTATATATATTATTCTCATGTATAACTTTACGCATAGCCGTTATATTTTTGCTTTCAAATTACTTAATCCCTTTCGTTGGTCCTCACTGAAAACCAGAGCCTCAGGAAATGTAGGACAATCATGTTATGTTGTTTTCTTTTGTGCTTAATCTGTATTTGTGTTATATCAGTGAATAAAGTGTTTATCTATCTATCTAAGACCGGGAGAGAGTTGGCGTGCTCAAGGGGACGCTTATGTGCAGCATTGGATGCGTGATGACAGCAAACAATGGAATTTCTCGGTCGTTTCTCAACGGATATGCATGAAATTTAATACTAGCATAAACAATACAGAAGTTTCAAAATGGCCAATATAAAGATATAATGATTTCGCGCGAAAAATTGACAGAAAACATCGTATCACTTATTTTTTTAATAAAAGAAAATCGTGAAGACGTGAAATTATGAAATTCGGCCTGTGACCTGAGATAAATGTGGTCAAAGGTCACTTGTTAGGGTAAAATATTTAAATGTAAAATTCGGAGCGCGCAATTGTCTAGAACTACGATAAAAATAAAAAATAAGAAAAACATTTTCGCGCGCAAAAGCGTAGAATGGTGAAAAAAGAAATATAACAAAGACTGCTATGCTGCGATAAGGAATTAACATTCCACCTAGATTACATATACACTATGTACATTACATAGTGTATTAAGGGCGGTAAATAAGAAAACACTAACGAGAGCCTGTTAGAACGACTCTGTAATTTTTAACGCCCGCGCTACACACAATGTTTTTCATTACATTTGCGAGGAAATAGATACAACGATAATTTATTTCTTGTACGGATAAATATCGTTTCACAACACAACCTTTACACATTTTGCAAATGGCGGTTTTTTTTTCAACGGATTACCAGTTATTCTTCCAATAATACAACTCGAACTAAAATTTTATAAAAGACAGACGCATGCAGCCACTGTGTATTGGATATAAAATAAATAATCATTCAGTCAATCATTTAATTTGTTTGAAAACTATACTGCCATATCATTACTGTTACAATTGCGGTCCGACTGGCTAGCCCGAGTTCGAAACAATTGACGGGTGTCGTCAATGGATGTCGTCAACTGTTTCACTTCAAATCGACCAGTTAACTTGAGCTTTGCTATAATGGACGAAAATTGCAAAATTGCATATTTAATATTTAATTACCAATGAAATGTGATTCCGTTTATTTTGTAATCAGATGTTTTGGATTTTTCCCACACCACCAAATAGAAAGGCACGGCATTACAATAAATACAGAATATTTTTTTGGAATATACGGAGACGTACACATAGGTCAGTAGTTGGCCTGTCTACATTTCAGTGCAAACGAGAGTTGATATTTATAAGAGCTGTATCGCTAATGTGTTACCAGAAATATATGGCCCTTATTTCGTCTCTATTTCTGGTTATATACTCGATGTAATAACGAAACGACATGAGTTTTATGCGTGATTACCGACCCGCAGCCCCGCGCTCCCTAGTTAGTATCCAAGAGTCCGCATATAACCCTGGTTCCAGTTAGAAGTTTTTTGTTTTTTTTCTGCTGTAATTTTGCGTTAGTTCCTATTGTAAGTATCTACTTAAGTCGTAGTATCTCTGTAATATCTCTGTACCCCGTTTTTTATATGTAATAAATATCCATAGTGCTCTTCCGACTGATTTACTTATTTAGCCCGGCCATACAATGAGATAATTCGCTTTTAAAATGAACGACACAATTGTTAGCAACTTAAATAATAGTTTAACACACGCAATAACAGAAACTTATATAAAACAAACAGATAAGTTCCATTGCCCTACACTAGATAATGTAGCTGTGTATACAGTGTTGCGATGGCGTGTCGGGTTCAGGGACCAATTATATGTAATTTATCTGTGTGGAAATGACTATGCATTTCGTGTTGTTTTCAATTCGCAAAAACATAAATTAAGTACAATCTTCTTTCTGCGGAAGCGTACTGTTTCTGCAACAAACAGGGTATAAAAATACCTATCTTTGGGAGATAAGTTCAAAGAAGTAACAAAAATTAGAGTGTCCCTATAGCACATTTGTGTGAATAAAATTTACAAGTTTACTTGGTGTAATAAGGCCAAATGTGCTAAATGACAACTTTTCAGTAAATTGGCTTAAATATTCTAGAACGAAATTAGTTGATTTTTTAAGCGTGACACACTGAGGGCAGGTGCAGGTCGGGCGCGTGTCGGGTCGGGACACGAATTAGACACCCCGCGGTCCGAACCCGCACCCGCTCTCAGTGTGTTTCACGCTTTATGCTTCAGGAGAGTAGCAATAGGGGTCCTTGTGAAAGAGTTCGTCCAGGGTTTAACTCTCATATTATTTCTACATAAAAGATATTTCTAATAAATATCAATTTAAAAAGGGCGATCGAAAGTTTCGCAGTATAATTTATTTATAAAAGAAAAACAAATACACGTGCAAGCAATGAATATTTCGACTTTGACATGAGATAATATTGAATGAATGAATGAATGAAACATTCTTTATTGTTATTGCTCATTAAACAATTAAAACGACAACACAGACCCAATGATCTTAAATTGTACAGAACAATAATGCATCATAGAATAAGCTAATGTCATGTAAACATACTGCCTTATTGCTAAGTATCAATTTCGCTTTTGTTTTTTGTATTATTAATATTAGGTCAATCATTAATTTTATTAAAACAAAAAAAATAATTTGTTTGCCTAAAGTTAAAAGGCATGTCATGCTTGCAGTTACGTGAACAATGCTATTTCAAAGACACGTATAGTTTAGTATAATAACCTGCTTCTCGATAAGAATAAACTAATTATGTGTCATTACTTTGGCTATTTTTAGACACTTACATCTACAAAGTAAGAAAATCAACCTAGTAGATAATATTGTGTGTTTAGGTATAATATAGATGCAAGTTATGCAACAGGGCTCACAATAGTATTTTATGCAATCGTTGCATATTGCTTAAAATCGTATACTGTGGCCTAAGTAAGAGGTACGAGATTTTAAGACATAATTATATAATGGTTGCATACAACGCTTATTCTACGAGTAAATAAAATAATAAAACAGAACCAATATTTAGAGCATATTAAAAAAAAATTAACCCATTTATTATGGTAGGCAAAGGTTCCACCATACAGCCTCTTCATATTATCAGAGAACAAAAAGTAAAGAGAACGGACACTCTTCGCCCCTACCTGGCTTTAGATACCGCACCACGCCCCGCACATTGCCGGTCACATTGACTAACGACAACAAGACTACCGGCGAGCCATTTTCACGCGATTCGGCTTTGATATTTGAATATAGTTTTCATTTATTCATTACGAAACTTGTACGTTAATATAAACATCATTTTACGTTACTATTTATAATAGTCGTGAATTGTGCTGTGTACGGCAGTTTATCATCATTTTCCGAAAGATGAAACGAAGTAGCTAAGTAAAAAACTTATGTCTGAGACTCATTCAGTTGTTGTTTTCTTCATTTATTTACTGCAGAGTAATATATGTACATATGTATAAAAATACAGATTTATTATATCAATATAATGAGGCGCCATGACTTCGTGAGCTAGTAGACAAGGGTTCTCGAATTTTCAATTCATATTGCCGATAAATATTACGTAAGTAGCGAATATCCTAATTATTAACTAAGTAATGATGATTAACTTGGACACGCAATTTCAAATACCTTGGTTACTCTATTTAAACGTACATGTCCAAAATATAAAATTTTAAGTGCTTTTAATATATTTTTTTAATAAATCTTCATTATTACTCTAGTTAGTGAGTTAATGAAAAATATGATATTATATTGATATAAATACATAATAGACATGTGTAAGCGGTTGCAAGACTTGTAGGCCAATTTAGCCAATCAGAAGGCATAGCGTTTGAGTAGTGTCCTAATTGATATTTTAATTAGCAAAAATACGACGTTCTTTTTTTGAAACTCATTAAAGTTCTGTGCACAGTATTAAAAAACTCGTCATAGTTCTGTGTACAGAGTTTTATAATGAAGTTTTTCAGACGATAACAAG